AACCTTGGCCTTATTCAGATTTTTTAAACTTACTCTGTATGTGAATCTTATTTCAAATTGTTGTTTACGCGAGTTCCACGATATTTGACTGCATTTGCGATAGGAATATCATGAGTATACATGTGTCGACGACCACATTATGTCTGAAGTGAAATTTCAGAAAAATTGATTTGAATATGTTGAGAATCAATTTATTTCTGTTAAACCCTAAACTGAATCTGTTGAAAATATTTCTAAATTTTAGGAATAGTTTATCCCTGTCTCCACCAGATATGGTTATATGTTAAATTTTTATTTGATGATGAAAACAGAAGAATCATGAAATTCAAATAAATTGACAAAAATGGAATCGGGAAATAGTTCCATATTATGTATGAATGAAAATAATCAGAATGTGTAAAAATAATTGACATTAACAGCTAAAATTTTATTTTCTTGACACCAAGTTTCAGTTGAACAAACTACATCCGGATATTCAAGAGACTGTAATAAAGAATAAAGTCCACTCATTTTGTTTCTTAAACCATGAATGTTTAGATGGAATATTACAAAAAACGGTGATTTATGAAATATTCATTTTTTCAATAAAACGCTAGATACCGTTCAAGTACATTGCTGCGTAATCGTGATGTGTACTTTATGAACAAATTATATTTTTATGTGAGTATTGAAATGGACCAATTTATATTACCGTGAGTGAACACGTTTGCTCTACTAGATAGAGATCAAATTATTTTACAAGTATTGTTAGATATGTGGATTCTCTCGTGTGATATTAGTTAACCGCTTTCTCTGCGATAACCCCACTTCTTTGTTTCTGAGAAAAAATAATAGTATTGGCAACATCATTTATCGAGGATCAATTAATGAGACTAAAATTAATAGAAGTATTGGCCATTGACACCGTCTTGCGGCAACGTCAGAACTACTCCACTTGGCCTACAATAATTTCTGAAACGAAAGCGCATTCCAGCATTCACCATTGTGTAGCCATCTTAGCACAATGTTTTTCATGTTCTACTTCAGTTTTAGTTGAAGTCAAACTCTGTTAGAGATCAGTTGTATGTTCAATGTATGTAATTGCAGACAACAGCAGAGTAAAAATTTGAAAATTTAGGCACTTTTTGATAAAAATGTATGTCAACAAATAATAGGTACTTGTATGTACTAGTTTGCCTAATCATATAAGCATATACTTTGAACAGTGAATAAAAATGTAATACGTATATTCCTCTTACAGGGGTGTGGGAGGGACTTTGAGTACCTATATTGGGATTTGGAGTAGGCATTTATAACGAAAGCTGGCTTGTCGAAAGGGCACTAAGTCGTATCTTCGTTAAAAATAGTCGGATCGCCACGTGCAGCACGTCAAATGAAACGGCAGGAATGCAGAGTTTATTGAAAAAAGAAAAGAAGATGCCGTGACATGTCAGAAAGGCACTAGGCCGCATTTTCGTTAATAATACTAAGATGGTCAAGAGGAAATACAGAATTTATTGACAAATAATAAGTGAAGATGACTAAGACCCTTTCTTTTTCGAATGAACGTTCATTTTGCAAATGTATATAAGCATATACTTTAAACAGTAAATAAAAATGTAATGCATATATCCCTCTTGCAGGGGCGCGGGAGAACCTCATTTTCTAACTAAAAAGTCAATACCCCATTAGACTTTTCATTTTATAAAAAATAGTCGTACATTTAATGTAGATAATGTACTCAAATTTCAAAAATAAAATAAGTAAAAATTGTCAGTTGTTGAAACTAAAATAACTTTTGGGGATTATGTGAAATGTCTCGAGAACTTTACTTCAAAAGACTGTCTGTTCCAAATTTGGTTTCTCTAACAGTTAAAATACTTAATCAGCATTATTTTATTCAGTATATCTCTCGTTTGGAATTTAATAAATTTCACAATTCAGGATCACCTAATGTAGATATTATTCCTCAAATATTCAAAAGAATTTCATCTTTTTATCAAAAAGTATCAACCTGAAACTGAAAAACTCGCTGTTTACCTTCCGTTTTATTTACATCATAATATACGTTGTTGAAGTTATTTAGCTTTAAATCAATACTGCGAGGTTCAACCTAAATTCGTGAAATTTTGTATGCGATTTTCGCGCTATAAATTTTACGTATTTTTGGAGCGATTTTCATGACAATTTCGCACCATTTTTTGTGACACGTTACAAAAAACGAGGCATAAAAAATCAGTTTTTTTCGATCCGGTTGAAGTGTGCAACATTACCGTTTCAACGCGTTCTATTTTTGTGAAAATTTTGAAGCGAGTTTCGTGACAGAAATGACGCTTTATTGCATTATACTCTCGATTATCAAACGGTTAATCGTCCAATGCCAATTATGTCTGAAGACTTTGTACCAGTGATATAGGTACAAAGATCAGGTTTCTTGATATACAAACAACGAACAGGCTCGAATTTGAAATTGGAAATATCCTCCCATAAACTGTAGGCTTTTTTAGCATTAAACAACATTTGAACAGGTGCTTGAGAAACATATCATTCAATATGTCTTATCCCATTTACCCCGAATTGTGAAAGCGTTTTCAGGGATTACACATCTTTGTCTTCGAATCAAAACTCAGAGTATCTGAATTCTGTGTACCATCCCCAGGAAGATTATATTTCTCTTGAAAATCAACAAAAATCGACGAGATAATTAATTGTCTTTATTGATGTATCCATATCGTGTCAGATACTAAAACATTTCTTCTGCATTGTTAACATGTGTTCATATACGTTCACCTTATCAAGCTTAGATTCGATTCTCTCAACAAAAATTAATTCACCTATCATACTAGATGAAACAAAGAATTACGTTTCAGGATTAATTGACTTTGTAACCTTTAATGCAATACCAAATGCAATATATTTTATGAATTGAATCTTAAAAAAAATAGAAATCTCCTGGTTCGTATGAAATATTAGATATAGAGGATATATCACTATGAGAGGTGACGTTAAACGGTTAACATAAGAGAACGAGTTTTGCTGTGAACTGAAAGTCAACATCAGTACACGATTCAAACAGATTTTACTATTTTTCAAATGCTCTAATGGCGACGACAGCAGTAGAAAAACAAATTATCAGATAGTAGAAAAAAGAAGTAGAAAAGCAAACAATGACCTTCAATATATTAAATATTGGTGAACTGTATTGATAGATGATTCTATAACCAAATGTGAGATGCATAGCCTTCCACAATATGCAAATACAATATTCAACAGACTACAACAGTCTAGTTGTAAAACTCCAGAATATGGCAAATGAGATTTTGCCGAAACGTTGTGAGTATATATATATATA